TGATACCTGTCAAGAAGTCCAAAACATTTTCCTCAACTACAATGGCCATTTTCTGCTTAATGATGCTAACACCTTGGATATACTGTGGATGGGTAGATGTCCATGAGCAAATCACTACCATTCATCAGGCTCCTGTTAGTGTAGCATAGGCATAAAAAATTTATTGAATATTGTAAATATAATACGTACTAGTGTACTTTCAAATATTGAGTTTGGTTTGTCCGTACCATCACAAGCAGCAGAGTCACCACATCACACAGGCAACAGACACACTACCACAAGTCATCCTCAAGCATTATTGAACTCTTTTATTCTTGTCGTGTTGTGCTAATGTGGAATTCTATTGAATCACCTGAAGATGTTTCCCCCAGTAATTTCAGTTGATCTATTCTAAACATTATATACCCAGTAACCATAACACTAACACCCCCCCCCCCCTTCTAAAAGTAGCTCTAAACAAATGATCTTACATGTCACTTCCCAAAGTTCAGCTGCATCAGACAATACCAGAGAGAATTCAAAAAACATTCCAAGCAAATTGCAGATTTCTTCATTAGGTAAATATAAATAATTTTTACTGGTAATATACTGTACTGCGCCGCAAATTGAAATACCGAGGAAGGTTAAGAAATGTAAAATATTTGTGAATACTCTAATGCTATGTTAAATATATTACAGGTACAAAGAAAAGTGGAACAGAAAGCACTATATGGGAGGAATTATCTGTATACTATATGTTAACGTGGAGGTGAAGGAGGAACTGAGGGACATTATAATACTTCCTACCTAAATATAAGACAGTTAAATATAGACTTGAAATAAAGTAGAATATCCTATGTAACTAGTGAAATAATGAAGCCAGTGAAGAAATAAGGCTAAAGGCATTGTACAATTGGCAACCATGCTGCTCACTACAGCCTATGATGAAGTGCGTCATATTACGTAACTTTCAGAGCCCTACGTCAACATTATATAAAAACTGAATGTTTTTTGTTCACAACGTTGTTAAATTTGTATTTCTCCATCTTACTGTACTTGTTATCACTTGTAAAGGTGTTCCTGTGTGCATCTCATAGCAGCGACTGATCACAGACCACACTTTGTCAAAATAAAAAATGGTGAAACTATAAAATATGCACTATATATACACTGGTACACTATATGGGTTCCTGAGATAAATATATCAAGTGTCTGAAAGCATCTTGGCCACAAGTACTTTGAATTGATGACCATCACATGTACCATATAAGATTTGCATTTTGATGGTTGGAAATGATGTGTAAAATCTCTAATGTATTATTTTATGTCTACATAAATAAAGTGGGAACTTTCCTATTAAAGGACAGGGCTTACACAAATTAATCTAATATTGGGAGGTTAACTACACCAGGATGCAACATAATGCAAGGATCCTTATCAATGAATCCCTTCTGGCCTACTGTACTACTGACGAGGTTTGCCAAAGAAATCATAATAAAGACCAATTCCATCCTTGCTCAAACTCCTCTACGGTAATTCAACCGTAACCGGAGGAAATTATTGGCCAGTAAAAAATTAGTGCCCAATACTTTTCTCAGGCTGGCGTAACAAAATAACAATGTATATATAAAAGACATAAGAGTAGAGTCACCTGTTGTGGGTCCCAGCACACTACCCTTGACCTTGTGGTCACCGTGTTTATACCTCCACGAGATGGTAAACAAACACACAGAATGTACTTAAAGACATAAATAATCTCCATAAAACGGTTCCGTTCAAAGCCACTCATAAGCATTTTCTACTGTTAATATGGCAGGTGGTCGTACTCACCTCGGAATAGATTCACTACATCGGATCTGTTCGTTCGCCGCAACATTTCCATAACCAACCACCAGGTTCTCTTGGTCGGGGTGTGGGTCACTTGGTCGTAGATTGGGCCAGTGACACGAGTTGACCTGACATAGTCATGGGTCAACCCCCGCTACGGCCAGGAATGTGGAGGTGAGTCATATTTGTTAGCTAGCGTGAGACCCACTGCCGCCACCTTGTTATGGTCTTGTGTTGTTGTCGATACACAGTGTGCCAACCTCTCGCGCCGCCTCCTGTAATACAAAAACAAACTAAACCCACCAAATCAACAGCAAAACCTTAATAACTTCAGTATTTATGTTTACAGGATACCTTTCTTACTCATATGATTCAATTTAGCTTCATATGAAAGTTATATCATTTTATCACGGAAATATGAAGCACAAACAACATTCAACAGAATATGAGCTGGTTATATTTCTGCTGAATATGGTTAAGTTAAATCTTAACATTTCCACAATAAATTGTACAGCTTTAAAATAAAATTGTAAATTACATATATAAGACATGTATCCTCAAAATATAAATACTGAGACTAAATGTAGCGCTTCCTGTTGGTTTAGTTTGTTACTTTGTTTTTGGATTTCAGAGGATCTACCTCTTTTTCCACCTACTTCCTTATTTATTGCAGCTTCAGCACATACACTAATGAACAATAATGTCGCTAAAAGTAATGTTAGACATAATTTGCCCAGTTCTAATTAATCCTGTCTTAATGTTATCATGACCAGGGTAGCCAACCGCGACACCTACATTCTTATCCCAGGATGCTCGCCCTCCTGCTACAAGCTGTACAGTTCTGATGGTTGCTCCCGTTGTCATCAATCAGAACAGAATGAATTTTCATCATAATTTGCCAAATAAGCAGACAAGTGGTGAAGATGATAAAATAAATTCAACCTTCAACCCAAACGTTGCTACTCTTAATTTTGTTATAAACGTATATAGTAAGGATAACATACTGTATTTATCTATATTATAAAAAAAATTCTCAATTTATTTTAATGCTAAATAATGCTACTTATTAGACATTTTTATGTAAACAAAAAATGTAGGATAAAATAAGCATAATCAAACCTGGCATTGGCCAAGTTAGATTAAATTTACAGTAGTTAATATGTTAAAGGCACTGAATAGGCAGTATCACTGTTCGCTATGGGGAAAAAAAGCCGAGCCGTTAACAAAAATTTGTAGATATTTATTTCAATCAAGTGACGACGCGCCGACTTAACATTATTGTCATCACATACCATTTATTCTATTATTAAACTGCATTGTATGATTAAATATGTCCTCTTATATGTACTTAGGGCTAAAATTTCTAAAAGCTGAACCTTATGGTTACAGGCAAAGTCTATAATAAGAAAAACGGGAAAGCGTCTACCTTTACCGATAAAAAAAAGTGATCCACCAAGCTCCGATCAACGCCATCTGTTGATCCCGCGGCCAACTATACGCGGCTTACGCGGTTTTTGTCTTGCTTTCTTGTCCTCCTTATTATAGTCTTTGGTTAATAACGGAAGCCCCTGGAAATCGAGGATGGCCAGCACCTAGGGCCACCTTGGCGTAAATTGGTTACAGGCAAGGTGTCAACCATGCTCTGATTGGTCCAATATTTGACGTCATTAATTATATCTATTTTAAGCAATTATGTGTATTTCACCATGACTTTATGAACTTCCAAGTAGATTAGTTTCACATCAACCATTAATAATACGTTGTCATCAATTTAATATGCCGGATTACTTAGATTTGACAGGTGGTGGCTAGAGACCGCGCGTCATCCAACCTATCCTTGATTGGCTGGGGCGCCTAGCGTCATGTTTCTAAAAATAAATCAAAGCCTCACATTATCCCTCTGTGAGGCTGACGGGTGCTCTGTAGTCTGTAGGCTCTTTACCTGCCTCGTTATAGTAAGGGAGCACTGTACAATCATCCACTGATCATTTCCCGAATTCGACATCTTAAACGTGAACTTGTAGTTTACGAGAAACAGGTGTTTAGCCGTACAGTTCGCCGATTGGCTGTTGTGAAGGAAACTACCGATAGTCTGGATCAATGAGAATAGAGTAATGAGAGGAAGGCAAAAATAAAGGCCGTATTTCTCGTTTGATTACTCGACCATTTTAGTAACCTCACGCAACAGATGGCAGGACCATCGTTTATTTTATATGGCATATCCCTGAGAAAACTTTTATGGTCAGGATGATGGTGTCTGGGGTTTCACTTTAGCTTATGGTTACTTCCGCTATGTGTCCGGCATTCGTTCTGGTTAGGGCAGATGACTTGTCCTAGTTCACTTTATTCAGTCACTTGCAATTGTAAACATGGCGGCAGTAGTTGCAGACGTCTTAAGGGTTGGTGATGCTTTTAAATCCTTCGAAGAAGTTAAATGTGCTATGGAAAAGTTTGAACAATCCCAGTTTATGACTTATTATAAGAGAGATTCCAGAACGATCAATACCGCCGGGAAGAGAGTACAAATTGACAACCCGAATCAAGACCTACTGTACTATGAACTGAAGTACACCTGTGTTAAGGGAGGCAGGGAGTATCATAGTAGAGGCTCTGGCCAAAGACCTAATCAGAGGTAAGTACAGTATAAAACCATTCAACTTTATTTCATACCCAGTGGTTATTTGTCCGGTCTCAGATCTTTACTTACTTACACTTTGTCTGGCATTCATTTATGTGGGTGGTACAATAGAGTGGACCCCCCCTAAAAAAACTTTTCGTCAGCACTCGCTGGTAATACAGTGATAAATTGCAAGTTATTATTTTACACGAATGAAAATAGCACATGTGTAACTGTATGTACACAAAGATAGTAAACCAGCCATTACGTCTTCGCTGCTTCAGTTAATGCGTAATAAAGGGCCAAAGCCCTTGAAATGGTGATGGGAATGAACGCGGTGACGAAACGGGTAAAAAAAAAGTGGTGACGAAATGGGTAATAAAATGTGTTGGTGACGAAATGGACACGCCCCATCTTAACGCGCACTAGCTACTGCGCCTGCGCACTTCTGCCACCGCCTTTGTTGTGACGGCAGCGAGTGTGAGCTACCGGGTATTTCAAGACCAGACTTGACAAGCACTGGAGCAAGTTCAGATACATTCGGGAGTCAGTGTGAAACAGAAACGTAAAAGTAAGCTTGCCCTTCAACTCGGCATGGCTTCTACAAGCTGTATTCAGTTTTGTTCTGGATGTGGCAAGGAAATACGATCACGGCGGCAGGCTCTCTACTGTGATTATTGCCATCAGTGGAGACACTGGAAGTGTGTCACAACTATCACCCAGGATAAGTACAGGAAAATAAGCAAACATTTAAAGGAAGGTGGATCATTTGCCTGGCACTGTCCAGAATGCCCTGCTACTGTTGACCTCCCCTTGGAGGAATCTTCTACTAGTGCTGACAATTCGTTCACATTTAATTTTCCTATTGAGCCAGTCACCCCAGTACAAGAAACATCTCTTAAAGATGAACCGATCCCAGAAAACCTTCCAGATGATCAACCAGTTATTTGGGAAGTTATTCCTTTTGGTACAAACCGTGGGAAGCTACGGTTGCTCAGCTCTGATGGTTACTCATACACAGTAAGAAAAGAAAAGGAGTCTGTAACGTACTGGACTTGCAGCATCCGCCAGAAGCATAACAGGTGTCCAGCAAGTGTAATTCAGAGAGAGACAACATTTAAGCCAGGTCTACAGGCTCACAACCACCCTGGAACACCAGGCCTTCTTGCTACAACAAAAGTATCTGTAGCTGTCAAAGAGCGATGTGCACTTGACAACTTCACCTCAGCTGCACAAATTGTTAAAGAGGAATTGATTAGCTACAAACAGAGCCACCCTAATACTCACCGGTTGCCTAAACCAAGCAGCATTGTTAAACAAGGTAACAGACATCGCCAAGCTCAAAGATCACACCACCTAACTCAGCATAACTTTGAACTCATGTCTGACAGCCTGTCACCTGATTTCATTAGAAGGGACATACAGGTATGCAGTGATGATAACCAGACTACTGAACGTCACAATGGCATGGCCATCGATAGGTGTGCAAGACAGCGGTATGTAGATTGAACATTTAAAATACTGTAGTATGAAAACCATTTTATCCGGTCCGACTAATACCCAAATGTAGCCAAATATAGCCGCAATGAAGTCAAATAATGGTCCTACATGAATAAATCGGACTGCTAATCACTTCTCGACTAGTATTTGGTGTCAGAAAGTCACAAAAAATTGGAAAACTTACTTTAATCTGAGTTAATAGATCGCGTGCATGTACCAACGGAGCGAGGAATTACCCAAATGTAGCCGCAATGAAGTCAAATGATGGTCGTACAAGCATAATTCGGGCTGTGAATCACTTCTCTATTATTATTTGGTGTCAAAGTCCCAAAAAATTGGTAAACTTAATTTAATCTGAGTTAGGTTAGGTTAGATTAGATTACATTACATTACATTACGTTACATTAGATTAGATTACGTTACATTAGATTAGATTAGGTTAGGTTAGGTACATGCACTTGATCTATTAACTCAGATTGAATTAAGCTTACCAATTTTTTGTGACTGCGTGACACAAAATACTAGTCGAGGTTAGGTTAGGTTAGGTACATGCACTCGATCTATTAACTCAGATTAAATTAAGTTTACCAATTTTTTTACTTTGTGACACCAAATACTAGTCGAGAAGTGATTGGCAGTCTGATTTATTCATCTAGGACCATTATTTGACTTCATTCCGGCTGCATTTGGCTACATTTGTGTAATTAGTCGGACCCCATTTTATCAGTTACTGTCCAAACATGCCTTCTTTAATAAATTGTCTTTGTGAGATGCTTGCATTGATCCAATGTATGTACACAAAGGGAAATTTTTTACTTTAGGACATGAGTCCCTAGGGGTTGACCAATATGTTTTTCCAGTGTATTTGGGTGTTTTTCAACGAATCTGACCTTCATTTTTGGCGGAATTTGCACCTCCCCCCCACCCGACCCCACAATAATGGAGGAGAGCCTGGGAAATCGGGGTTTTTGGGTGGGGGAGAAAACGAGTCAAACCTAAAAACAAAACATAACCTAACCTAACTTAACCCCTAGCTGGGGGCTCTGCCCCCGGACCCACGGTAGGCCTAGCTTAAACTAACCTAAATGTTTCAGTAGTTAAAAAGGGGCATGCCATGTCCAAAAGTACAATACCTTAGTTAGAAGTGGAAGGGGGTCTGACTAATTACCCAAATGTAGCCGCAATGAAGTCAAATAATGGTCCTACATGAATAAATCGGACTGCCAATCACTTCTCGACTAGTATTTGGTGTCACAAAAAAAAAAAAAATTGGAAAACTTAATTGAATCTGAGTTCATAGATCGCGTGCATGCACCTAACCTAACCAAACCTAACCTCGACTAGTATTTGGTGTCACGAAGTCACAAAAAATTGGTAAACTTAATTTAATCTGAGTTAATAGATCGAGTGCATGTACCTAACCTAACCTAACCTAACACAAATCAGATTAAATTAAGTTTACCAATTTTTTGTGACTTTATGACACCAAATAATAATCGAGAAGTGATTCACAGCCCGATATACGCTTGTAGGACCATCATTTGACTTCATTGCGGCTACATTTGGGTAATTAGTCGGACTGGTGGAAGGACCAGGGATACATAAGAATTGGATAGAATGATCGTCTTTCTCGTAAAACTCTGCAAAAAAAATTAAAATAATCGTATGAGCACAAATGATAACCAACCTCCACCACGGCCATTGTGAAACTGGTCATTGAAAATACCCAGGCTGCTTCCTTTGAAAAAAATCAAATGTGATTGGTCGAAAAAAAAATCGCGTGATGATATTGATATATCATTAGTCACGACTGGATGAAATCAGTCAATATTGTGCAGGCGTGATGCGCCGATAACATCTCCTCAGACGAAGACTGAAAACTACGTAAAATCAGTTAAAATAAATTGTGTCACTATTGTCCATTTCTGCCATGCATATACTGTATGTGGTTCAAAATGCTCAGGATAGCGAGATCTAAATGTTTCAGTAGTTTATAACTTTCAGGTGTGCTTAATGTCCTAAAGTAAAATAATACCACACAAAGATAGTAAACAAGCCATTACATCTTCAGTGAATACATAATGGAGGTCCAAAGCCCTTGAAATTGTGATGGGAATGAATGCGGTGATGAAATGGGTAAAAAAAAAAAGTGGTGACAAAATATGTAAAAAATTTGGTGGCGAAGTAGGCACCCCCCCCCCCCTGTATGCCTTGGGTTTGAGTCCTGCACTAACGCGAGACAGTAAAGTTCATAACAAAGTAAGAACGAACTAGTCCGAATGACCAGTAAACTGATAAGTGGTGAAATGATGAATTAATAAAAATAAAAATTTTGGCTTCAGTGATTCAAAACACTGGTTAGGTTAGAAGTCGTTTTGTGATAGGTCATGTCGGACTAATAGCCAAACTCAATCGAGAATGACAAAATAGTTCTCTCATCTGCCACAAATATTGGAATACAGTACAGTATTGTCATTAGCCCCAACTAATCAGAATCGATGCCAGAGAAATAGCGAGAGTAAGTAAAGATCCATGACCTTATAAATAACCAATGCCAATTTCTTATTTCTAACTTGACCATTACCCAGTTTAAGTGCCTTATCAATAAGACCCATTGATAAAACCAGTTTATCAAGATATCTACTGATAATTTCCATTTACAGTATATGGAGTTGAATATTGAGTAGACTTCAAAATCTAAAAATGTAAGTACATTATCAGCAAATATTACTTAATACTGTATAGTTAAGTGTAGGTTGGCTCATTGGTGATGAAACGACAAACTTTCCCTGGAATGACAGTCCCATCCCCTTCCTCAATACAGTCTCTCCTCGACTTAGGACAGGGTTCCGTCCCGACGACCAGGTCGTAAATCAAATTGGTCGTAAGTCAAAAAGGTGAAAATAATACATAGAAATTCTAAATGAAATACAGTATACAGTAAAAGTAATCAATAATGAAAAATGAATATAGTGTTACTGTGCACGTACCTTTAATGTAGTCAGCTGAATGCACACGGGGCCTCAATAATTTTTTAATTAAGCATGGAGACTACATTAATTGGATGAAGCAGAGGAGGAGACAGGGCCGTCGTATGTCCGGGTTGTCGTAAGTCGAGGAGAGACTACTTTAGAAGACGAAGTATATGTGTGGAAATTTAGGCATAATTGTTGATATGTTTTAATAAAAATTGTGAATTGTTTAAAAGACTCCATTATTATCCTAGATACTTTTGTAATCTTTTCAGGTCATTCCGTGAAACATGTGGGTCTTTTGTTCAGTTCAGAGCATCAAAGGATGGACAGAGATTATCTGTCATTAAGATGGATTCAACACACAATCACCCAGTGAGCAAGGTTGGTAATTTGCAATATAGACTAATTTGGGTCATTATACAGGTAAAGTCATCGACCTTGACCAATACACAGGTAAAGTTATCGGCCTTGACCAATCGAAATTATCAGGGCAGACTTAACCAACACTGGTGTAGGGACAGATACCTATTGGATCCATACAGGCCCAGTAACAGTACTTGCCAACAGTGTGTAACAGACAAAACCAAGCCCAAGAGGCTAACAAGCCAATCAGTGGTGAAGAGGAAAAGAACAAATAGCAGAAGCGAGTAAAGATCCGTAATTAGGAAAATAACCATTGTGTTAAGTTAGTTATTTTTAGTGCTTTTGAGGCAACTGCACTAACACATTTCTAGTGTGTGAATAATATTTTTAGGATCCTTTGTGTAACTCATGTGAATGTTGTCACTTTTCATTTGCAGGAAACTTTTAAGTGTTTACCTAAGCAGAGGCGACTGGATGATAATGAGATGAAGGAGGTACAGCAAATGTTGCAGACACAACCAAATAAAAAGATACTACAGGACCTTATAAAGAATAAGACAGGCAAGTAATTAAAAGTTTATACAGTACAGTATATATACTGTATATAATGACTGATACTGTACAGTATTACGGTTTGTTTTAAATAGAAAAATATTTAAGTGATATACAGAATACTATATATGTGTGAATAAGTTTCTATACACAACAAAATACATACATAACTGATATGATAACATTTATATAAAATAATAAAATTAATAACTAAAAACCCTTTTTTTTTCATCATATTCGCCACTTATCAGTTTACTAGCCATTTGGTGTATGCATAGAGCTCCTTGTTCAATAGACTTTTGAATGAGCATTATGCCCTTGTCAGACTAAAAGGTCTGTGTGACATTCATGCTCTTGCATATAATAGTTAAGTGGCTTATCAATGCTGTATCCAGGGGGGCTTATTGCCCCAGATATTTGTTTTATGCAGATTTTAGATTTCATTTCTAAACTGACCAGGTTGGGACCTATGAATGAATTACCTGATTAAAACAATACTGTACTGTACATTAGTTTCAGCATCATGTTTACTAAAGAATTTGTCTTACACTACCCCCCTATGCTCTTGCTCTGGATGTGACCCTGCTTATTGCTTCTTGTTTGTTTTTAATAGGCAAACAAGTCACCTTACGAGACATCAGTAACCAGACTGCAAAATTGAATCGTTCTTTTTCAAATCTGCAAGAGCCTGACAGTCACGTTACTGCTGAGAGCGGTGAGTGATCTTACTTGTGTATGAAGTGGTTGTGATTTACCAGTTACTGTACTATAATACAGGTTGACAACCCTTTATCCGAAAAACGAAAAGCTCTGAAAACCGAAAGTTTTTTTGTGGGGCAATTTTTTTTTTTTTTTTTTTTTTTTAAACAGGGATTAGCCCACCCGGGCATAGATCACTGACTCACATCGGGACCTGGTGGGTAATAGTAATAATAATAATTATAATAGTAATAATTATTCATAGTAAATAAGATTTTTTATTAAAATACTGTACACCAAAATAAAATAATAACGATAACAATAATAATAAAATAAAATACTAAAATTAATAATAATAATAATAACAATAATACTGTAATAAAATACTAATAATAAAGAAATACAAGAATGAAAAAAGATCAAAAGTGAGAAACGCGACCTAGACCTCTGAATTATTATTATTATAATTTTTATTATATCTCTCCTGATGTGGGTCAGTGATCCTTGCCCAGGTGGGCTAAAAAAAAAAATTGCCCCACAAAAAACTAACCATTCTGAAAAGCGAAAAATTCCAAAATCCGAAATGCCTCTGGCCCCAAGGATTTCGGATAAGGGATTGCCAACCTGTACTGATACCAGTAATTGGCATATACTGTACTGTATTTACCTAAAACATTTTTTGATCTTCCACTTTCCATCATAATTGTAGAGGAATAGGTTTGGGCATTCATCATCAAAGCTTCTGAACAAAATATATTCCTGTGAATTTTCAGACTTTCTGCCACATCATTAGAATTGGCTTTCCTGAAGTGTGAAAACAAAGTAAAGCAACAGGAAGAGTCACAGTTAACCTTAATATTCATCAATTGAGAATATAATATTATACATTTCCTAGTTATGTATGTAATTAATGTTTCATATACAGTAATATACTGTGCAAGTATTATTTCTTAAAACTGTAATAAAATTTTAAAGATAAAGACCACCAGGATGTAGTTTCCAAGCATACCATTTATGATGGCAAAGCTAATCTAACTTAACCTAACCCAGACTAACTAACTAATTAAGCTTAACAATATTTTAAGTTCATTAGGGGTGTCAGATTTGGTCTTTTATTATTTTGTCTGTCATCATTAATGGCTCACTGAAAACTACTGTACATCTTTGCCTTGCTGTTCTGTTTTATATGATAAAGAACAGCCTTTGTAGTCTTATTAGTGTTAATAAGTTAAAGGTAAACTTTTTTCATTTTCAGAAGGAATGAACAGTGGCACAGCAATGTCTGGGTCAAGCAGCAGAAGGCAGGAGAAAAGGAAAGTAGTGTATAATGGAGATGGTGGAACCCCTAAGGTGGTCAAGGTTGGTGAACCAGCACCACCTGCCATGGACTACCTGGAGCTAGTGTGGCAGCCTCAAGGCACTGATACCTTGCCCAAAAATGGTATGTTAAATTGTACATAATGTCGACATGGCACTACATTGTTACTGTTCCCTGCACAGAAGATATGCCATACTGTACACAGGACATTTAATTTATTTTCTTTATTGTCGAGCTAAAATCCATAAAAATACAAGTTTAATGAGAAGATAAAAATAATTTAAACTAAAATAAACCTCATAGTAACACCAGTTCACCGACTATACAAATCTAAATAATTTCTAACTAGATAATGTAAACCAACCACACCTTGCATAATAATCCTACTTGAGGTTAAGTATACCATAGTTGGACTGTGTAGTCTGCTTGTAGAACCTTAGTGAAGGTAGAGAGAAGCACTACCACCTGATAACATGGAACGTAGGGAAAAATCAGATTATTTTGCTCTAAAAGCATAGATACAGTAGTGTTGTATAATAAAGGATTATAACTCAGGTACTCACCAGACATGTTGAGGGATGATGGTAAATAAGAGTTTGGTGGAGTTCTTGCGTTCTTGATCGCAGGTTACATATGATCCCCTTCATGTTGCCGGGATAAGGTGACACTTTTTGCAACCAGAATCCACGTTGAGCTCAGAAAGCTATGGACTGAGCAAAACTGACCAACCAAGTCTAATCTACACTGAACAATATTTTAATATACCTGTATTTTAGCTACAGTCTGCTAATTAAGGTTAGATTAGGGTTAGTTGGTTACTTTTGCCTGTTTTAAATGATATGCCAGATAACTCAACCACCTCCTTATATAAAATTTAGCACATCATTACCCTTCTCTACTGGCCCATGTTCAATCCTAAGGTACAGTGAGTGGGTTCCTACAATAGCTCTGGTTGAACAGTGGAGAAGGTAAGCTTGATCCACATGACCCAACACCAAACTGATAGACATCTAGCCTGCCAGGGGGGGGGACACACTCCTTGTGAGGGCAAGACATTACAACATGATATCAGTGACCATGAAAGATCCCTGTACAAGACTGTGATGTTTTGCTTGGGATATTTTATACTGTAAATTATTTTTATATTTAATTTTTTTTTTCACACACCCAGTTCATCTTAATTCAGGTAATAAACCACATTTTCCCATAGCATAAAATTTTAAATGGCGGTGGTTTATGTGTGTAAGTAAATTAATAATAGACTTCTTAAGAAATCCTTCATTGTGATGTGATATAATGTAATAGTTATCTTTTAACACCAACAACTGTCAGAAAACTTTAGAAAAAATTATAAAGCCTTAAAACCAAAACTATAAGAATTAATCTAAAACAAGAGGAAGAACAGTCAATGGCCCTTGTTGCAGCAGCTTGGGTTAGGTTAGATCAGGTCACTTGGTGTGATTGGGTGAATATGGCAGCTGTCTTGTAGTACAGTCTCTCCTCAACTTACGACGGGGTTCTGTCCCGACGACCAGGTCGAAAAGGCGAAAATAATACATAGAAATTCTAAAATGGGTGTCTCCTTTTCTTCTCAGCACCACGAGAACTCTCACTTTTACGCTTGCCAGCCATTTTAAAGGGAATTACAAATGAAAATTTTGTCAGTACACATCGCGATCACTAACGTCAGGACTCAAAAATACGTAATGTGAAAAATATTTTATACGATCACGGCGGTCGTATGTCCAGGTTGTCGTAAGTCGAGTATGTCATAAGTCGAGGAGTACCTGTACAGCATTTGCATTAATCACACGAACAGTAGTTAGTGAATGAAATGGAGAGAAAGAAAGACAGAGAGAGAGATCTTTTTTTTGCCATTCTAAGTTATAATGGGAAAAGGGTAGACAGTGAAGAAAAAATTATACTACAGTATACAGTTAACCCTCACTTTACGCGGTTAATGTAACCCGGAGGGTACCGCGGAAAGCGAGAAACGCGTAAAGTGAATAACATAACATATGGGATTAATTGAAATGGAGTCCAGGCCGATCCCCAAACTCCACTTTTTGACGACACATAACTATGTTGTAGTAAAAATAACATCTTAATTTTATGATGGTACATGCACACAATTAATACTTTAGAGAAATACAGTCGCCAAGTTAATGTCCATTCAAATAATGGACACCACTCCCTCCCCCTCTCACACTACACTGCCGGCTCTTCCCTCTCTGAGAAATTTTTGGGGGAAAACCACTAGATTTTAATAAATAATACCTCAAAGTAAAGTTAGGATAATATAATTGACATTGCTGGATTCCTTGTAAGACCAGGAATATTTTGAATATAAATGTCATATATTTTTCACAAAAGATAACATACTTACTCAGATTAAACATTTTATCTAAAAATTTTATGTCTAATGCAAAATATATGATGTTTATATTCAAAATGATCACCAAATTGTAAGAATTCCAGCAATGTAAATTATATTCTGGCCGGATAATTTGTATGAATTTTATGAGCCAAATTAAAAAAAATTATACTTCACCGTGTAAAGGGGTACACCCACCGCGGAATGTGAGCATCCTGGGTTCTGGCAGGGCACCGCGTAAACGTGGAAACGCGGAATGTGGGACCGCGTAAAGTGAGGGTTGACTGTACTGCATATATTTTTTAACAGACAGTATCTTTTTTAGTTACAGTAACAAGACATTTACTGTACTGTTATTTACTTCCACTGATTTTTGTAATTCACCAACCATTATCATAAGGCTTTCATCTCGAACAATAGGTGGTCGTTGGTTATTGAAAAAGGAGGTGCCATACCCAGTTGATCAAGCCACTGAACTCGACCAGGATGTTCTTCAAGACACTCCTCAAAACCAGGATGTTCAAGACACTCCTCAAAACCAGGATGTTCTTCAAGACACTCCTCAAAACCAGGATGTTCTTCAAGACACTCCTCAAAACCAGGATGTTCTTCAAGACACTCCTCAAAACCAGGATGTTCAAGACACTCCTCAAAACCAGGATGTTCTTCAGCATAACACAGACACTAATCAAGGCAAACAAGACGTTCTTCGAGACACAGAAGACACATTTCAAGTTAATCCGGCTAACTGCCAAGAAAACGAAGGTCTTGGAGGGTGTGAAGCTCAGGTATGTATCACTCAGGGCATAAAGAGGATGATAAAAAAAAAAGACAAATTCAACTCTCCCTCCTAATGTACCAGAGAAAGATCACTGTCCCATAATAACAAGAAACAAAATCTGAATAACCTTTTTTAGTGGGAGTTCAAGATTTCCACCTGTCTAATACACACACTCATTCATTTAATGGACCAAATAGGTAATTACTGCTTCTAAATGCTTTCTCCAGGTACAGTACTCATTAGTCCCTCTTTTGATAATATAAGTGAGATGACTATGGAAGTATAATAGGGTGGAGGCAGCATGAGCGGTGTGTAGTGCTGTCGGGAGTGAAGCCAGCCAGCCAGCCACGCTGCCCCCATACTGTGGTTGGCAAGAGCCCGCTGCCCGCCTCCAGTCAACGACGTCTACGTGAATTATTGTCCTACTGTTCATTCATAAATACATTTGTTAATGTGTAAACAAGTGAGAAAATTCATTAACCTTTATTATTCACAAAAATATACACAAATAATACAATAAACATCAGTGTAAACACGATGTCTATATGTATAGTACATAATCCTACTGGCCACTGAAATGAATGAGCTATGTGTATATCTGATGACTCTTTACCTTAACCTGAATTTGTAACTTAGCAGTCCACTGTTTTGCAGCATATGCATATCTTACTTGCAAATAGCTTTTGGCAACTGCTTTAATCAATAAATGTATGTGATTTTTCATAGGTTCTGTATCAAACATGAGGTGAGATAGTTTAGAAAATTATTCTGTTAGTGTAACTTGACAACACTGAATGAACAAGTCTGTGAAAATCTACTCTTCCTAAAGTTAGATCTGTATTTTTTCTGCATGACATGGTTACTCTAAACTTTTTTTCACAATTAACACAGATATCTATATCATCATCATAAGGATATATCAGGCCCCCTTTGGATTTCAACAATCAGAGAATGCATCTGGCCAACATTAGTGCTTGTTAAGGCATCAACACACGCTTCACAGTGTAGAGATTTCTTTAACTGAAACACAACAAAGCCAGCTATATATGCAACAATTTTGTTGGAACTTTGAGACAAATGGAAACTGCTAGGAACATAAGTATACTGCAATCATACTCTTCATTAGCTAAAGATGACTCGGACAACACGCTATCTAAAACTCTGTGTTTCAAAACAGAGGTATTGATAGCATTCACAGAGTGTCTCCCCTAACATTATTTGCACAGCTGCTAGGCACAGTCAGTATTGGTACAGTTTCTAGTGGTAAACAGTTGCAGCGACCTTGCCTCTTTTGCCAACCACAATTGGCCGCCAGCAGTTTAGAGTGACCTCACTTTTCTGAGCGGATGCTGCCTCCACCCTATTATACCTCCATGGAGATGACCCAAACCTTTCCAAGAAGAAGCCTTACCCAATAAATAAATAAAAATTTGTTTAGAGAAATCAGTTGTAGGCCTTAGTCATATTGCTGTAACATTAAATAACTCAAATCTATGTTACTCTTCCACATTGATTTTGAAGTCACACTAACTTCAAAATATCCTCAGAGAACTTCCGAAAGACCTAAGATAGAGGCTGACAATCATGGTGGTGTCAATCCAGACAGTGACCAACACTGTGCATCTTCAAACCCTTCCACTAAGGTAAGGTGGCAACAGGAGGCTGCAGTGTTAAATAATGAAATTATTAGTTACTGTAAGGTTAGACAAGAAGATTTCACTTTGATTGATTGATGCTTTTCTACTTACACCAATTTTATTTTCTATGTTACAGACAAAGGTATATCATTGTCCTATTTGCCACACAGTAGTGGCATCAAGACAATCTCTTTTCAAGCATAGGAAACGTAAACATGAAGAAGTAATGGAGGATTGTGAACAGCGAAAAACACTACAGTGTATGGAATGCAGCTTAAGGTTTGTCCAAAAATATTGAGCATACCTCCGTAATATATGTACTGTACTGTATACTGTATTCATTATATACACATGCTTTTCCAGACAGTGTAGGAAGAGCATAAAACTGTAATCCAAAGCCAGTCATTATACAGTGACCCCTCGTTTAACGAACGCCTCGGTTAACGAAATTTCGGTTAACGAAAAAAAATTCGGTTAACGAATTTCTTACGAACCGACCTCAACATGTTTTTGCTTGCACTGACCGGGCAACCAGCTTTAGTATCAGTCAGCCAAGACATTAATCGGTTCTAGGGCTTAAATTCCTTACTATTTTAGTAAATATCAAGAAGTTTATACTATTCAATAATTTTAAAAGTTTAATATTCAATTTTTTAGTCATTTTTAACAATTATTGAACATAATTGAAGGTAAAGTGACTACCGGTAGTTTAATGCGCGGCATCCAGCCTCTTAACACAGCAAACAGGCATTAGTCTCTCTCTCTGTTTTCACTGGAGGTAACATCTTGCTTGAGACTCTCTTCAACTAAACGCTTTTTTCTGTGTTTCCAAGCAAATTATTGGTCATTTTGAAATTTATTTTACATATTGACAATATATAATGCAGTGCAGTGTTGATTTAAAGAAAATAATCTTGAATTACACCAAGAGAGCTAAAATTTTATGGGTGAAATGGCGCCATGGGGTGACTTCTCTTCCACCCCAATGCCTTCTCTTCTCCCTTCTCCTCCACCCCAATGCCTTCTCTTCTCCCTTCTCCTCCACCCCAATGCCTTCTCTTCTCCTCCACCCCAATGCCTTCTCTTCTTCCTTCTCCTCCACCACCATTCTAATTCCCATCATCATCATCATCATCATCATCCAGGAGCCTTCTACATACACACCTCAAAGTAAGTGAACGTTTCTACCATTTTTTTTGAATTTAGGAAATTTTCGGTGAGCTGGAACCAATTACCCAAAAACCCATTGAAACAATGGTTTCGGTTAACGAACGACCTTGTGGAACGGATTGAGTTCGTTAAACGAGGGGTCACTGTTGACAAGGCCTGATTGTTAAAGAATATCTCCATCTATTATATATATATATACATATACAGTACATATATAATTTTTTTTTTTTTTAATTGTGAATAAATGAGTCACTTTTTTCTCTCCAGAGAGCCCCATTCTTACTCTAGTATTATGCTTATTGGCAATAGGAAGGGCATCCAATTTAAAACTTGCTTCAAATTTGCCCATACCATCAGGTAATCACAGCTAACCCATTTAAGCATGAACAATAGCCATTAAATGATTATGATACCATATTCTGTGACAAATGACAAACTCTACTTAAAAGTGAAAGCATGACTTACTCCAGATTTATTTTAACCTGGACTCCTGGGACATGGGATTTAGGCTTGAGTCAGAAATTTTAACCTTGGGTTTTAGGTCTTTCCAAAATTTTTGGCTACTGAATGCCTTGAGGACGAAAAAATCTCTACTTAATAATCCTAAATATGACACATACACACTATGTTTAGAGGTAACATGGCTCTCATTATACACCTTGACAAACATCACCATGAGCCACCATCTGGCTATGTGGTGGTGGTGGTAGGGAAAAAAAATCTTACAATTAAAACTGACAACTTAGAACATTTTCTTATGATTACAGATTTGTTGTGATGAAGGACCTTCTTGGGCACTACCAGGCAGAGCACCAGAGGGACATTTTCCTGAGGGCTGGGCACTTTAAAAACAAAGAAGAATTTATGTCATGGATGAAGGACGTAGAGAAGAAGACGAGGGCGAGGTTTGTTAAGCACAGTGGACAAACACAAATCAAACATGCCAAAGTAGACTATTTTTACTGTAACAGATCAGGTTCGTTTGTGTCTAAAGGTAAAGGTAGACGCAGTATCAAGGCACAAGGCTCCTCAAAAATTAATGGCATTTGTTCAGCTTTCATTAAAGTTGTACATGACAGACTGCTGGAGACTTGTACAACAGAATTTTGTTTAGACCACTCTCATGAATGTGATATTACCCATTTGAAACTGTCAGATGATTTGCAAACTTCCATAGCAACTAAACTGGCAAAGGGTGTCGAGATAGACGAAATCTTGGATGATGTGAGGAGCAATAAGGGTTATCTAGATAGGGATTCACTGCTGGTTAGGAAAGACATACATAACATTAAACGTCGCTTTAATGTTGATGTTAAAGAACAGCATAATGATGATGTTAATAGTGCAAGGTTAAGTCCAGTGAAGTGTTGTGAGAAATCTTATCTTGGTACAACATGGTGTCCAGATCATTTTGTGAATATGTTGTAGTATGTCATGTAAGGAACAGATATGATGTGGGCTTTCTGCTTCCATTTACTGTAGGTATACTGTACTGTTCTGTATCAAGTCATAAATACAGAACATTCCGAAATGTTTTTAATGACCTATACAGTACTTCTCAGAGCCTTATATAGTTTCCAGAGGAGGAGTTAGGCAGCAAGCATATTTACAAAATTTGCGAGTCTTGGAATTTTTTTTTAGAATGGTCTCGAGTGTTTAACATTAACAAGTGAAAGTGCCTATTTATTACCTGTTGACCACATGCCTAAGTGCAATCGTGAATGTACAGGTACAGTATTTTGAAAATTTAATAAATATGATAAATACAAACTTAAGTTTTTTTAATTCTTACTATCACTTGCATTATTATTAAGATGATACCCAAGTGTAGGAAATCAAACATAACGGCAATAAGTCTCACAGTTTACTCATGTATTCATCATTTTAAGCATAATACGTACTCTAAATTTAGGACAATATTAGTTCTGTAAACTGTACTTGTATTTTAAGTTGTAATTATATTAAATAGATATATACCTGTGTAACAAAAATAGGTAAAAGTATTGACCAAAAAACAACTAAATTCAAATACATATACCATATTTAGTACCAATAGTTGTGCCTTAAAAATCCATCACATTTCATCATGAATTTGTTGATGGGCCTCAATTTAAAGTTGTTTTTTACAGTCTTTACCAGACTTCCTTAAGTAAATATATGAGATGGTCATATTTCTTGGTCACAACATACTGTACCAGTTATAGTGCATGATCTCATTTTAGAATTACATACCCTGTAGTTCCTCTTGTCAAAAGAAACACTGTCACATGCCACAACATGTGATAGTCATGCTGGTGTACAGTATGTGAAAGGGTGTTGCAAATCATCTCAATTATCCCAGTAGACCGAGGGCCTGGGGACTAACAACTCTTCACACAAGATACAATAGGACAGATATCATAAGGGGTGAAAGAAGTAAACCTTGGTAAATTTTGTGAGATGTCACACACCACCAACACAATGACACAACTTCATGCTCGCCAGGATATCATGCAAGAAGAATATGAGGAAATACTTCTTACACTGAGGATGGCAGACCTAAAGAACAGTCTATCATCTCAAACTGTGTAAGCAATAACAGCTCTGGGTTACAAATTAGCCTATGACTAGACTATCAAGGACAATGGAGGGATCCTACACAGACCATTGACCGTCCCTCAGCATGACCACCTCTAGTTAGGATGACAGCCAAGTAAATCAGTTGAACAGCCAAAGGAGCTCAAGTTCTGTATTGCACTGCCCATACTGACTAGGCCATGTGGAGACCACTAGAATATCAGGCCTTGTATGGAGACCATCATACATTATACCACCATCACAGCACTCCTACCACCATCACAACACTCCTACCACCACCACAGCACTCCTACCACCATCACGGCACTCCTACCACCATCACAATACTCCTACCACCATCACGGCACTCCTACCACCATCACGGCACTCCTACCACCACCACCACTCCTACCACCACCACACCACCACCACGCACTCCTCCTACCACACATCACCACCACCGGCACTTACCACTGCCACCACCACGGCACTCCTACCACTACCACCATCACGGCACTCCTACCACCAGCCTCCTACCACCACCACCACTCTCCTGCTCCTACCACCATCACAACACTCCTACCACCATCCACCTCCACCCTCCTACCACCATCTGCACCACCCACCTCTACCATCCACCACCACACAACTCCTACCACTCACCACTACACCTCAACCTCCTACCACCACTCCTACCACCATCACCCTCCTACCACCATCTCCTACCATCCGGCACTCCTACCACCATCCACCACCACAACCTCCACCAACTTTCGTGTCTATTATCACAACCTCCTACCACTACAGTCTCCTTCCCCACCCACCCAGCTCTCCTCCACCCCCACCCCAATTTTCCCCGCCTTCTTCCTCCCATAATCAGGTTCTCCCTCCCCTTCCACAACACCTTTCTCACCTCTCCCTCCCATTTTTCCTCCTTCACAACTAAGTTCTCCTTCCTCCCTCACCCTTTCCACAACCCACTTCTCTCTCTTCTCCTTGTCCCCCTTTCCCCTCATTACCCTCCTCCCCCCGTTCCTCTTCCCTCATCACCCTCCTTCCCCCCTTCTCTCTCTCATCCCCTCCATCACCCTCATTACCCTCCCTCTTCCCTCATCACCCCTCCCCCTTCCCTCTCCCCCTCCTCTCTCATCCCCTCCTCCCCCTTCCTCTCTCATCCCCCTCCATCACCCTCATTCCCTCCCTCTTCCCTCATCCCCCTCCTCCCCCTCTCTTATCCCCCCTCCCCCCTTCCTCTCTTATCCCCCTCCATCACCCTCATGCCCCTCCCTTCTCTCTCATCACCCTCCCTCCTGCCCCTCACACCGTAGGACCTCACCTCTCAATGGTACGTCGTGTAAGGTGAAGCAGGAGTCCGAGGTGTCCGGGTGGGGAGGTGGTGGGTGAGGCGACGACTCTTCAAGTGGTGGCGAGGTGCTGGAGTGGTCCATGCTTTGGTGGGGGGAGGTGTTGTTGTGGGGTGCACCTTCATCCCCCTCTACTGTCCACACACCCCCCGCCTCCTCCTCGTCCCCCTCTACAGCCTGTGGGAAGTTGTTCTTGTGTTATTTATTCAGTAAAATCGTCATTAATTCAACATGAACGTAAACTAAACACGTGTGTAAACAATGTATATAGGTAGGACAGGTATACAATTCACACATAGTCCAGTTACTGTATATAAACAATTTTACATAATGCAGGTATGGAATGTATGTAGATGGTGCAAGTATACAAACACTGTACGTTCAACAACAACAATAATCAGGTGAGTTGGCAGACATCGTACCACCCCGGAAATGTCCCATAAACATGACCTACAAGGAGCACAACACAAGGGCCGTTCTACACTCCACTGCTAGTTTGACCAGTAGTGACGAGACAACTGGACAAGCACTGGGCATACTATCCTTCCTAAATACTCGACAATATACAGAGATAAAATCCAGTTGAAGCCGTCTTTGACCTTTGAACCTTTAAAATGATCCCTTAACACGTGCTCAGCAGAGTTAATTTTAGACTAACAAACGTCTTTAGACAATTAGAAATATAAGTAATATGTAATCACTAAACACTGATCAAATTTTACCCTTTGTTATTCAGCTTTCCGTAGTTTTCAAATTTGAGTGCAATTTCAAATTAGGTGAGGAACTAAAAACGAAAACTAATTTTAGAGTGAGCCATCGGCCGGTTTTTATATCTAAAGCGAAAAAAAGGTTCTCTAATCTTTATAAACTCGCCAGTAACAGAAATAATCGTCAACTGAGGCATCCTTGGTGTCATTTTACTCTATAATAAACAAAAAAGTTGGTGGTAATCGTCAGCTGTGCCGGTGATGAACAATGTAAATCAAAGTCTAAAATGCTATGTATACCCCGGCACGACTGTGAGAAGGGTGTCTGTTGTTACCCTCGTGTCTGGAAGGCTCTCCCTGCGTACTGTATGAGGCGACGACCCATACACTGCTGGGCATATCGTCATGGCCTTCACCTGCGCTTATATCTTGATGACTACTATACACTCCTTTAAAAATTGTCTTATTTTTACTTTTTTGTTGTCAACTTTTGTGAAGAGGATAAAGTAAAGTAGCTCATTTGTTATCATTGTTAAGACTTTAGAGCAGCATATCTGTCTTCCTTACATAGTTTGCTAGTTTTAAAGTGCGTTAGTAGTGCTATCACTTAGTCACCACTGCATTTCGTGATAAAATAATTTATCTCGCGCCACGCCTCCCTCCCTCCCCTCCTTCCTTCCTTCCGGACTCGCACACGCCAAGCGCTAGTTCTGGAGCGACGCCCCGGACATCTTGCACAGTCAGCGTCAAAAGTTGGTGTATAGTAGTAACCTCTAATTTTATAAAACAGTACACCCGCAACAGACGACAGTCAGGGTAAGTCAGTTCGGAGACTCATTCCCGTGACAGTTTCACTGTTTCATACAAACTTTTGACTCTTGACTATTCAGCCAGCCAGTGCTTGTCAAGTCTGGTCTAGAATGAGCTCACACTCGATGCCGTCACAACACTCTGGCAGATTGTTCCAGGAGTTCAATAACTCTCTGGAAAAGATGCCCTCACAACTTTCCGAACTTGAGGCTTCTTCAACCTTGAGCTGTGACCTCTAGTGGGGTGGGCGTCGTCCAGGTATGAACACTCGACTGGGTAATGCCCTCTGAAATTTTTATAAACTTCAATTAAGTCACCCCTTGCCCGCCTATAGTATACGTTAGACAATTGCAGACGTTCTTATCCTTCAGGGTAACTGAGGTGCCGGAACACAGACACCAGTCTGGTGGCCCTCCTTTGGGAGTTGTCAATCAATTGACATTCTCTAGCATATCTTGGGGACCAGACGAGGTGACAGTACTCCAAACGGGGAAACACCTCACGCTTGAAGATCGTTACGAGGGACGGTCCCGTCTAGATATCTGAACGACCTTCTTATAAGACGTATTAGCTTAATTGCTTGATTTACCTTCTCGCAATGGCCCGAGAACTTCAATTCGTTGTCAACAAACACACCCAGGTCCTCTTCACATTCCGTCTCTGTTAGTGTTTCTTCGTCCCGTTCGTACATGTGATACGCCTCCTTACTGTTGATACGACCTAGGTATATCCTCATACATTTTGTGACATTTGAATCTTTACATCCATTTCTTCAATCACTGTTGAAGGTGACAGATTTTTTGAAGCTCTTCACAATCCGCTTAGTTCTTAATTTCTCTGAATAACTTGGCATCGTCCACAAACATTTGTATGGAGGAGTATATAGCTTCTGTGAGGGCAAACTTTTTCGGAGTGAGAGTTGTGAACTCTTGGAACAATCTACCAGAAAGGTTGTGACGGCACCGAGTGCGAGCTCTTTCAAGACAAGACTTGACCAACACTGGAGCGGGTTCAGGTACATTCAGGAGCCGGTGCGTGCCCAGTACTTGCCAACAGTGCGTAACAGAGACGTGACCGATCGCCCAAGCGGCTAACGAGCCGATCAGTGGTGAAGAGGATGAAAAAAATATTGAAACAAACAAACAAACAACAACGGGTCCAGTACACGCTATTGTGGTACCCCGCTTGTCACGGGTACGAATGACGATTCCGTGACATTAATCACCACACACAGCTTGCAGTCACGAGGACATTCTTTTTCTTTTCATTTATCCTCTTCACCACTGATCGGCTCGTTAGCCGCTTGGGCGATCGGTCACGTCTCCGCTGGAGC